TAGCTGTTATAAATTCACTGTAAACCACAGCTTCTTGGGGCTTATTGCTTTATTTTAATATGCATCCACGTGACTGGAGATTTGACATAAGGGCAAAAATTTCACAAATTTTCCAATTGGTCATGTGAATTTCTGGCACTGACCAACAGAAAGCTGCTTGGTTTGAAAGTTATTTTTGTGTGAGATAACGCAGAAAAAGACAGTCACTTATCGCCAACTACTGAGACATAACATGAGAGAAGAACTGCTGAACGAATCTTTTTAATGAACGAATCTAGAAGATTTGACTCATTGAAATGAATCACCAAATCTGTTGTTTATTCTTATGGGGAATTTTTTTTTAGATCATTTTAATTATCAAAGAACCACCACTGTATTCAATAAAAGAAATTAACATTTAGTCATTTAGCAGGCGCTTTTATCCAAAGCGACTTACAAATGAGGACGATGGAAGCAATCAGAATCAACAAAAGAGCAATGATACGCATGTGCTATAACAAGTCTCAGTTAGCTTAACGCAGTACACGTAACAGAGTTTTTTTGTTTGTTAATTATATAATAAATAAAAAGAAAACAAATAGATAGAATATATAAAGAACAGAGAAAGCTAGTGTTAGAGGCCTTTTTTGTTTCTTTGTGTTTTATAGAAAACATGCCGTGTTAGAAAACAGATTAAAATAAAAAAGTAGTCAAACGATAAATCGTGATTAATCGCATCCAAAATAAGTTTGTTTACATAATACGAGTATGTACTGTGTATATTTATTTTGTAGCCTATATATAAATACAAACACATGCATGTATGTTTAAGAAAAATATGCTGTTTATATATTAAATATATTTATATATAATATAGAAATAATAATATTAATGTATATACATGTAAATATTTTCTAAATATATACTGTATGTGTGTGTATTTATATATACATAATAAATAAACAAATAAATAAACAGTACACATACATATATTATGTAAACAAAAACTTTTATTTTGGATGCGATTAATTGTTTGACAGCGAAAGAAAACAAATAGATAAAATAGAATTAGAATAGAGTGCTAGAGCGAGCAGGTCAAATAAATTACATGACATGATTTTTTTTAGTTAATTATAATAGATAAAAAGAAAACAAATAGAATAGAGAAAGAATAGAGAAAGCTAGCGTTAGAGGTCTTTTGTATGTTTTTTATAGCAGTTTGAAAACAAATAGTTTAAAATTTGATTTTTTTAAATAAAAAAGAAAACAAATAGATAAAATAGAATTCGAATAGACAGTGCTAGGTCAAATATACCACATGACACGATATATAATAGATAAAAAGAAAACAAATAGAATAGAGAAAGAATAGAGAAAGCTAGTGTTAGAGGTCTTTTTTCTTTTTTGTATTTTTATAGAAAACAAATAAAAGAAATTAACATTTAGTCATTTAGCAGGCGCTTTTATCCAAAGCGACTTACAAATGAGGACGATGGAAGCAATCAGAATCAACAAAAGAGCAATGATACGCATGTGCTATAACAAGTCTCAGTTAGCTTAACGCAGTACACGTAACAGAGTTTTTTTGTTTGTTAATTATATAATAAATAAAAAGAAAACAAATAGATAGAATATATAAAGAACAGAGAAAGCTAGTGTTAGAGGCCTTTTTTGTTTCTTTGTGTTTTATAGAAAACATGCCGTGTTAGAAAACAGATTAAAATAAAAAAGTAGTCAAACGATAAATCGTGATTAATCGCATCCAAAATAAGTTTGTTTACATAATACGAGTGTGTACTGTGTATATTTATTTTGTAGCCTATATATAAATACAAACACATGCATGTATGTTTAAGAAAAATATGCTGTTTATATATTAAATATATTTATATATAATATAGAAATAATAATATTAATGTATATACATGTAAATATTTTCTAAATATATACTGTATGTGTGTGTATTTATATATACATAATAAATAAACAAATAAATAAACAGTACACATACATATATTATGTAAACAAAAACTTTTATTTTGGATGCGATTAATTGTTTGACAGCGAAAGAAAACAAATAGATAAAATAGAATTCGAATAGACAGTGCTAGGTCAAATATACCACATGACACGATATATAATAGATAAAAAGAAAACAAATAGAATAGAGAAAGAATAGAGAAAGCTAGCGTTAGAGGTCTTTTGTATGTTTTTTATAGCAGTTTGAAAACAAATAGTTTAAAATTTGATTTTTTTAAATAAAAAAGAAAACAAATAGATAAAATAGAATTCGAATAGACAGTGCTAGGTCAAATATACCACATGACACGATATATAATAGATAAAAAGAAAACAAATAGAATAGAGAAAGAATAGAGAAAGCTAGTGTTAGAGGTCTTTTTTCTTTTTTGTATTTTTATAGAAAACAAGCCGTTAGAAAACAAATAAGAGTTTAAAAATAAAACATCTCTTCCATCTTTATTTGACCCTCTAACTTTAGCAATCTATTCTAATTCTATTCTTTAAAAAAACTTTCCCCTTTTAGACTTGCAAAGACCTCGAACACTAGTCTAACACTAGCTTGCTCTATTCTATCTGTTTTCTTTTTATTTATTATATAATTAACAAAAGCAAAAAAAGGCCTCTAACACTAGTTTTCTTTTTATTTATTATATAATAAATTGCTTCCATTGTCCTCATTTGTAATTCGCTTTGGATAAAAGCGTCTGCTAAATGACTAAATATAAATAGAGTTTAAAAATATATATATTTTAATAAAAAAAGAAAACAAATAGATAAAATAGAATTAGAATAGAGATTAAATTCTAATAAATAAATTAAACAAATAAATTAAATGACAAGAAAAACCGTGCGCTGTAAATATAAATTGATCCGTTTGGTTTGAATTCTCAACGATTGAGAAACCGTTTGAAAACCTCCGCGGCCACGTGAGCACAAACTTTAGGTCCCTTCGCGGAAGTGACGTCAGGGAAACGATGGCGGACCGTGCTGCTCTACCGTATTGGCTTTAAACTGTCCTCAGAGGTGAGGAATTGTACGCGTTTTCTTTTCGCTTTCTCAAAGGTTCTCTGAAGGAGGATAGTGCTTTTAATGCCGCAGCGGATGGACGGTCGCGCTTCTCTCGGCTTTCGGCAGCACGGAGGCGTTTGTTCGACACTCCACTTGGTTTGACCATCTTAGCCAACGAGCATTTGCAGACTTCACAGAGCCGGACAGAGAAACTACCTCTCTAAAGATAAAGACATTCACCAAATAATATTTTACACGTGCGGTTTTTATTTTTTTATTTATTTATTTTTAAACCGCTGCACTTTTGCGCCCTCCATGCGTTGATTTGAATCCCATCAAGACGCGCGAGGCGCATCGGGACGCTCCGGTGTGAAGTTGTGAATGCTCGGCAGGATCTCATCTCATCTCCACAGGTGTGTTGTCTTGCTCTTGTCGGCGGTGTAGATCACGCCTCACGGACTCTGGTGGTATGGTTGACATGCTAAAGACGCGCCAGTGTCTGCTCGGTGTGCGCACTTTCCTCGGCGTGACCTCCAGAATATGGAGCTTCTTCTTATACATCCTCAGGAAGCACATACGGACGGTGAGTTTCCGAAAAGAGTGACATTTACACGTCCGAGCAACTTTTCTTGCATGACACGGCACTGAACTTTAACACAGGTGTCTAAAAGGGACAGCAGACACCTGTCTGGGTTATTAAACCGTCTAGGTTTGGTTAGTTTATTCCCAATCTTTCTGTACAGCAAGTGTTTGTTTTGTGAAACGTACCCACATGAAAAAATACTATAGTGTTTTTTGTACCATGCTATAGTAAAGTGTATTATACTGTGTATATATTATAGTACTCGCAACACTTTGTCAATGAATGCTACAGTATAATGTAGTATTAGTGAACTGATAAACTGTAATAAATACTGTAGTGTACTTTAGTTTTTACTGCAGTAAACTGTAGTGTATTGTAGTATAATATACCCTTGTGTATAGCAATTTGTTTATATTATTATAGTTGTTATATTACCATAGCAACTATAGAATTACCACAGTAAATTAATTCAAGTACTTTACTATAGTATGCTTCAAAAACACTAGTATTTACTATAAATTACTATAGTATTTTTTCATGTGGGTATGTATCCCATAACCTTTTGGGTCTCCGTTAAGAGCAGTTTGCTTGGTTGTCAACAGCACAACTAGAGAAGAGCAACGACTTGCTGGTTATGAATAATATGTTACACTGATTTCATTAAACATACACTGATATTTACAAACTGATGACAGCCAAATTAGTTAATGTGACGCTTTACTGTGGGCCTAAAGTGTTAATGAACAGTCAAGCTATACTATACACCATTAGTGTAAAATAAAACTTGCCACCTAAATTAACATAATTTAGACACACAAATTAGACGTAGTTGTACTGTGGAGCAAATTCAGAGTAAGATATGACTTTGTACCAAAATGTATTATTTTTAGTATTTTAAATAAGTTTATTTACAACCAGTAAATAATTTACCAAAAGTAAAACTATTGAAATAAATTCTAAATATTAGAAGAAAATCTAAAACGCGAATTAGAAATGTTGACAGCTAACTGAAATAAAATAAGTCTAAGTACTAAAATTAACTAAAACTAAAAGATATATTGTATTATATTATTTAGCATTTTAAGTGAACTCACTTAAATAGTTATTTAGTATAATTTTGCCAGAAAACGTTTTAGAATTTTTATCATATGTTAATGTAAAAAAAAATCTGGTGTAATATAACTTGTTTGTTTGTTTGCTGGTTTTTATTGTATTTGTTATACTTGTATTTTTTAAATTGTTTTTGCCATGAAAATAGCCTAAGATGCTGACGTGGCATTAAATAAACAATATACTACTTTATTTAGCATTTTACTGCAAGCCTAAAACAATAATGATCAGGGTAAAATAAGTTTAAAATATGTCTTGGCATGATTTTTTTTTTTAAAATAATATAATATTAATAAAAATATTATAAATATGTTTAGAATTTAAAAGTTAATATAATTACAATATAATATGTGAATATCCAATAGGTTAATTGTTTTTCAGAATGAGCTGATAACCGTGTCACATGCTTTAGCTCAGAGTATGTAAACACTTGGGTTTGGAAAGCAGGCTGTAATCCCACTGTGCACTGCAGGCTTTGGCAAGCCAGTTGTATAATAATCTTTAAGATGATCATTAAGACACAATGATAAAGGCATTACTTGTCTGGGACTCTGATATGGGTGCTGGAATAGCAGACACTTCACTAGACATGCTTTACAGTCACGCATGCATCGGGTCGGTTCAGCTTGACCCGACATTATGAATGAGTCCTTATTGAGGCCTAAATCGGGTTGGGAATAAACAGCCCCCTTTTCAAAGTCACCCTGGCAGTTTCACTCAGCTGTGCTCTCCCAAGTTCCACTGATACTTTTAGACAGCTGGGAGGGCTAAAGATAGCTCAGAAGAGAGGGATTTGGAGAAAGAGAGGAAGAGTATCCACATTGTGGTGAGCAGTGGGCCGAGCCGGAGGATCTCGGACCTCTTAAAGGGAAAGCCATCTGAGTTTGAGCTCAGGTTCATTCCAGATTTGAGTAAGCTGCTAACTGACCAGTTGTGAAATAAGCAACTCCAAAACCGCTCTTACGTTCGTTTTTATTAATTCAGGGTTCCCACTGTTACAGACAACCTGGAATTAGCAGCCGAGTTGTCAAACGTTTTAGTAACACACTAGCCTAGCAATTTCTGTAGTTAATATTAATGATCAACCAATATAAATAGAAGCTAATGAATATTTGTATTGTATTGTTGTATTATGTAATATTGTATAAATGCACTAGTCAGCATTTGTTTTTAAATTATATATCTTTTTTTTTAACAGTAATTGGAATGATCCCTCAACTGGTCAGTTATGGATTGTATTTTTATTTACTGTATGTTTTTTCCCCCCATCTAAATTCTGGATCATGTAGTGTGATGTTCAAACATTAAAACCAGTATAGCATGCTAAATAAACTGTAAAAGGTGTACTCATTGTCTTCTTCTGTATAATACATGTGGTGTACTGAGGTGGCTGTTTCCTGTTTTGTCTCCTTCCTTTTCTAGATAATCCAGTATCAAACAGTGCGATATGACATCTTACCATTGTCACCCATTTCCAGAAACAGACTCAGTGAGTTTTTTCTTCTCAAGTTAAAAGTTAGCGGTATGACAACAGAAAGCCTGATCTGAGTGTGAGTTGTCTTTGAGACGGCTGTTTGTTAAACGCTTGAAACTCTTTGAACGTGCAGTGTTGCGTTTGTGTGCAGTGTTTTCGTATGCTGATTTTCATTGAGTAACATGGGAGTTTGTATTTCTGTATTGTTGTATTATGTAATATTGTATAAATGCACTAGTCAGCATTTGAAGTGGATCAAAACCTTTCATCAAAGTTGTCCTAAAACCTAAACCAATATGCGTTCTTGTCTTCCACTTCAAATGTTGACTACTGTATTTACTAGCAATTATTTAAATGTCCTTAGTAATTCTTAATGCTTAACCAATACATTATTGTTGTTGTTATTCGTTTGTTTGTTTTTTGTTTGATGCCATCTGGAGTCAGAAGCGCCCTAATGCCAATATATCAGTTTAATAGTCATATTTCATTCAAATATGACTTATTAAAAACATAACACATATTTATAATTAATATAAATTAAATATGAACTAATAAACATTTGTAAATATTTATTATAACAAAAATTTAAATGTCAATAGTAAATATTACCAACTAATATTTATTATTATTATTATTATTGATTTTGATTTATTTATGATGCCTCTCCTGAATCCTGATATCTAGAGAGCAGTCCAGATACGAGTCATATTTAGATTAGATCATGTCAAAATTTAAATTAAAATATTATGTATAAATGAGTAAATATATTTAAATATATATCTACATCGACGAGACGTTGATCCACTCGCATCACGATGGAGTTCTCAGACCTACAGTACGGCCTGGGACACCGCCAGACTTCGTCCTCAAAGTAAGTGTTCGTTTTATTTGCCGTATTAAAAATGCACACCTGTGAACGATAGGGATGCACCGAAATTAAAATTCTTGGCCGAAGCCGAAACCGAACAAAATGAAACACTGGGCCGAATACCGAACACGGTTTTTCAAGTTTTTTCCCCATGCATTTTGATAACATTCTAGCAGACACTATACCAACAAAGCACAATTTAACTTAAAATTAATAAGTTAGTAAAATAATATTTTTTGGCGATCAGACCCCCTTCTTGAATCAGGCATCTATTTTTTACTGTAAAATGAAAAGCAGCCTTGCTGAGCAGAAGAGACTTATTTTAAAATATTAGAAAATATTACAGATCAGAATTTGAACACTATGTGTGAATGTTATAATAAATGTATTAACAGAGCTGTGTTGTAATGATTATTATCATTATTATTGTCTTACTTTTTATTTTATTTTACA